TGGAGTTATTACCCTTGGTTTCATTAATGCGATGCATGCGTTCCATGATGTTGTATTGCACTCATTGATCTACCAGTTATGTTGAATGATTTCTCTTTTAATATCAATTACTCACAAATACTTCATATATTTCAATCATACAAACAACTGCTCATTCAATGTGTGACGGGCGTATTATATACCGCTCGCGGTAACCTTGTTTTAATTTTGCATTTTCTCTTTTTCTTCCTCAAGTGTACAAAAAGGATATTTACGAGATGTGTACAAAAAGGCAAAGGACAGTTACAAATCTGACAAGTTCCACAGAATCTGAGACAGATGGAGCCAAAAATAAATCACCACCGGAGGAGGAAGAGGAGTGGAGGCGAGCGGTGCTCATTATGGTGCCAATACGTCTCGGGAGTGAGGAGATGAACCCTGTTTACGGACCTTGTATCAAAAGTCTCCTGGCTCAGGATAACTGTATCGGTGTTATAGGGGGGAAACCTAAACACTCTCTGTACTTCATAGGTTTCCAGGGTAAGTCATGTAGAAGTTTCTTGGATAATTAAACCATAAACAGGTTTTACGTGTGTAAAGTTAAATATAGGTTTTTATAGTCATGTACCCAGTATACTTTTCAAGGATAAGTTATTTCTCCAGGGTAAGTTATTATAGATTTCCAGGCCTAGTTACAAATCTGGTCTCCTGGTTGTTAAAGCCATTCATAGGTTTCCATTTCCCAGGGTAAATCATTTATTGTTTGTTTTGGGTAACTCAACATTCCTAATAACTTTAAGTCATTTAATGATTTATAAGTTTTTCGGGATGTGCCATATATAGGTCTCAGGGTTAAACGATACATAGGTTCCCTAGGTAAGTTACCACTGTAAATAATTCAAAGGTTTCATGGGTAGGTAATTAAAGGTTTCCATTTTCCAGTGTAAGTCATTTACTGGTTCCTTGGATATGCCATATACATGAATATGTTTTCAACATATAAATGATATAAAGATTTACATGGTATTGAAGTCAGGTAAGTAATAATTGGTAAGTTTGATAAACTTCAGGAGGTTGAATCCTGGTGTTCACTCCTATATTAGATACTTATGATTCACTTTATATACATTGTTTATCGATAGATATGTATCTATTTTAAGTAATTGATCTATTTTCTATCTGATTTAATGCGGGTCTGTTTTAGATGACAAACTGATCTACCTTGATCCCCATTACTGTCAGGAAGCCGTCGACACAAGGGAGAGAAACTTCCCTGTACAGGTACAACAATATATCTCGCCCATAGTACACTGGGTACATGTTCACACAAACAGCACTGTTTCTGAGTCCAGTTAAGAGGTCATTGTTTTAAGTTTTCAGAAACATATGTGTTTAGCTCACCTGGCACAAAGTATAAAGTAATAAGTTCCATTTAGTCACAAACATTCTTAAGCCAAGGAGACATAATATATAAAAATATTTCCAAAATTACTTTTAGTGAGAATATTTTCTCATGATTGTTCCAATGTCCAGGTGTCAGAGCGATACATGCCCTCTAGGCCTCTTGTTTGTTATTTTAAGGCATTTATTTTGAAATTATACGTGATTTTGTTAGAAATTTCAATGTTTTGAAATTATCCCATGTGCAAAAAATTGTCTTTTAATTAAGGCTAGTTATGAATTATAGTCTGAATCAACAGACCGGTAAAGTACATTGTACTATTTTGACAGGTCCTCACCATAACTTCACTAAAACCAAATGCTCCAAAAAATATGATTCACATACGGTAACTTGCTATTTTGGAAACAGAAAAAATGCATGTCAAATGAATGATTTAGTTATATATGCAGTGAGTGGTATACAATATATATGTATAGAACTTATACTCCAGCTTGATGTCACCTTGTCACCTGTTTGAATCCTAACAGCAATCTTGACTTACTGTTAATTACTTAAACTCGCACAATATTTTGTAAATTTATGTTCAGCATCAATTGTGAATTCAAATACAACAAGAACAATTACTTACACTAAACGTGATACATTCAAACATCATACATTCCAGCTGAAGAAATATGAAATATCAATGCACACATTTTCGGTTTAAATTTCCAGTGTATGATGACGAGTACTAAATAATATGGTTGCCTCTAATTAATGATATTTTTATTTTTAGTCCTATCATTGTCTGTCCCCGAGGAAAGTCGCTTTGTCCAAGATGGACCCAAGCTGTACCGTAGGTTTCTACTGTAAAACCAAGAAGGAGTTTGAGACTTTTGTAACACAGTCTGAAGCGGTAAGTATAAATCAACTGATGTAGGTGCATTGTACAGGTCATACCTGGTATGGCACAACTTGACTACTACAGTGTGCCATATGTCACACATCACCAGTTACATAGTGAGAACAGTGAATCTTGTCTTAACCAAGCTGCACAAGACTTTTTAGTCGGGAATCCAGATAGACTTTTTACAAATTTAGTTTACATAGGAATGTGTGTTAGATCAGACAAAGTTGAAGATCTCAGACCAGTTTTTCAAAGTCTGACTAGCTTATAACGAGTTGTTATAGCCATTTTCTAAATGCTACTTTTGAGACATACTGTTGTATCTGAAAACTAACAAATTTTTTCTCTCTATAGACGAAACTTTTTTTTCCTGTACATTTAGGTAAAACTCTGAATTTCAATATTTATGAAAATATACAAGATGAAAGATTTGTGAAAATTCATTATGAGGGTAATGAGACTTTGAACAAATTGGTTGAGACTTATATAAGGATCTGTTTTGAACAGGTAATACTAGAAGATTTACTCCTATGTACATCAATAACCTCTAAATATATCTTTACCTTCTCCCGATTCCACAGATGGTGTCACCTCCGAAGCAGAAACTGTCATACCCCATGTTTGTATTCAGTGAAGGGCGTGGCTCTGAACTCAATTTGGACAGCCTGAGTCTTGAGGAAGACAAACTGCTACGTATCAGACATGTCAAAACGGATAAGTACGGTCGGATAAGATCTTCAACAGTCGATTCGGAGGAGTTTGTGGTGTTGTAGTCATGGAAAACTTTAATTTTCACTAAAAGTTAGATATTTAAATAGAAACAGATCATTTCTCAAAGGCATTTCTCCTGGGATAAACCAGTCAACCAAGATTAGATTGTACCATTGGCTGTGATCAGTTGGGTGTCTACAAAGAAATGTGATTTTGCATATAATCAAGCAAGGAAACTGTCATCAGAAACAAACATCTCCTTCAATTTACTGACCAGAGGTGAAGTTCTTGCCTTCTATGAGTCCAGTATAACAATGACTTAAACATACAGAAATGACATCTTACATAGAAAGTTTTTATTTTAGAAGCTGACACCGATTGCATGGATTGAATTATACTGAACTGAACTAATGTTAGATATATGGTTGAGATTGTTTTTGTCATTAATTATTTGCATATAGTTGATATACCGTAAATCTGGTTATTTTTACCTAGGTTAATTTTTACAGTTCTCGAGAAATTATCTGCAGTTTTATTTTTACTGGTCTATATTTTGCAAATTGGAGAAATAGCAAAAAATATGACTACCATAAATATATGCCAATTTAAGTTTTTGAGCAAGTTGCACTTCTGAGATTATATTTATATGTGGAACAAAAGGGTTCCTGTGCTGACTCGTTAAAATGTCATCATGATGGTTTAAACAGCGATGGTTTGCATGTTAAAATAGGATCAAATTGACATTTAGAATCTTCCCTAGTGACCAGAACTCACCAATTTTTCTCTTTGAAACTTGGTATTCATTATAATCAGGATATGAAGTTGTGTCTGCTGTAAAAGAATTTTGATTTGACAATTTTTCCAAAATTAATTGCCCTTTGTTCATTTCAGTATTTGATAAAAAAAAAATCCGGAAATCTCCTCCTACATTTTTTTACGGATTTCTTTGAAACTTAGTAGGCTAAATGATCATGATATGTTGTTGTGTTTCCTTGAAAAGAATTTTGATTTGACCATTTTTGCAAAAGTTATTGCTGTTTTTTATTTCAGTATTTGATTTTTGTCCGGCGATCTTCTTCTTCATTTTTCAATGGATCTCTTTGAAACTTGGTATACTTTATAATTATGATATGAAGTTGTGTCTCCCTAAAAAGAATTTGGATTCGATGATTTATGCAAAAGTTATTGCCCTTTGTTCATTTCAGTATTTGATTTTTTGTCCGGAGATTTTCTCCTACATTTTTTATAGCAGGTCAGCTAACCACTCTTAGAATGCTACAGATCTTATTTCAATGTAAGAAAGTATATGACACTATATGGCATTAGACGGGCGTTTTTTGTTTCGCCCCTCAGTACTCTTGTTTTAGGTTAACACAAACCTATCCAGCCTATGTACACTACAACAATAGAACCCTCTAGACTCTGGCCACAGCTAGGCTAAGACCTTGCCAACTTTTGTAAACACTCTTCAGGTAATCTCATACTCTGACACAAGTTTAAAGATATTTTAAAAGTGATTTGTTTTACAGTATTTTATCTCAAGCTGCTAATTTCAACTAGCCAAAAAGTGCAAAAATAGAACCACAGTAAAAATATCCTGATTTACGGTTTGTACATTAATAAGATTGTTGAGATTTTGTTGTTTGGTCTCACTGCACTGAAGAGGCGAGTGATTTTCTACAGTTTGTAGTTTGGGGAGGGATTACAGGGAATTATTGGGTAAGCAGCCATTTGTAGAAGGGCTCAATTTTTACATTTATTTATTAATTGACTCAATTCTCACATAATTTATAAAGTGAGATGTGATATTAATATTATATTTTGATTTCTGTAGATATAGGGACAGTATTATTTTTAACTGGAGTCTGAAAACACACTTTAAACATACACACTGTCGTTTTTGATTCCTCTGGTTTGGATTTGTCAGAAGTATTCAGATAATTCTCCAATGAGGTCATCTGAATTTTAAAGGAGCAATTATCATTCAAACCTATGATATGGATATTTTTTGATTTTTCAAGTTCAAATTATCTAGAATGTAGACAAAAGGACTAATTTTCTAATCCATCATTGTAGCACTTTTGCATATCAAGTCGAAGACATCTATATTCAAAATCTTTGCTTGTGTCTTAATCTCTGTACAGGTAAAAAAGGTTATTTAATGCATTCCTCTGTTGTTCGTTTATTAAATAAGATCGGACTTAGTAATCTGATAATGCTTTCAGGCGAGCCTTGACAAAGCTTTGCAAGGCCTGCATATACATTTGCAGGTCTGCGAGGATTTATACCCGAACATTTTATATATAATAATGTACAAACCAGTTGTTTCGCATAAATGAATAGGCCCTTGGTGTACCACAAGATATAATAACTTTTTTTCTTTCTTTAGAAAACATGCAATTGAATATGTTAGAGTTGGAGGTGTGTAATGTTATAATGGAAATATTCTGTGATTTTGTAGACATTTATTTTGTTTTGTTTGAAATGCATTATTGATTTGTACCTATATTAAATAGTATCCCAGAGATACAGGACGTCCTAGCTATAGCTACAGGATTTATGTAGCACATAGTAAACGTATACTATGTATATTGTTTTTAAGTAATTGTTTCATATTTATGAAATTTCTCTAATGTTGATTTAATTTATGTTGTTATAAAGTGAAATAAAAAAGAATGTTGAATGTTACTGAATTACGATTTCAGTTGTTTTTAGCTCACCTGGCCCTGGGCCAGGTGAGCTTATGGAATGGTGCAGCGTCCATCGTTCGTCCGTCCAGCGTCAATATTTTACTTTTAACAACTTCTTCTTAATAACCGCAAGGCCTAGGGTGATGATATTTGGGAAGAAGCAGACTTGGATGAAGGGCTACAAAGTTTGTTCAGATAAATGACCTTCATCTATTTTCAAGTTCACAGGGGTCAATTGTCTTAAAAAATCTTTATACAACTTCTTCTGAATAACTAAGGAGCCTAGGATAATGATATTTGGCAAGTAACCTGCTGGGATGAAGGGCTACCAAGTTTTTTCAAATGAATGACCTTTACTTATATTCAAGGTCACAGGGGTCAAATATGATAAAAACCTTTAAACAACTTCTTCTGAATAACCAAAAGGCCTAAGATGATGCTAGTTGGCCAGTAGCATGATATGATGAAGACTAGCATTGTACCTATATATAGGCAAGTTGACAATGTTGGTTATATTCTGAATTATGTGAAAATTTTGCATGTTTTTCCAATTAAAAGTATCACTACACTTACTTCATGTATACCAACATGACATATTTAGTATCAAATAACATAATTTTATGCACTGTACACTATCATAATTCATTTTCAAAATAACATTCTCCTGTGTCATTTATCTGTCATTTTGTTAGGATACCCCCGTCACTCAACCTGGTGTTATGCAAGGAGGTCCACTGCGGTTATCAGTAGTAATTATGAATCTACATAGGGCAAAAGAATAAAAGAAATCAAAGTGTTGACCCCACCTTTGACGGTGAATACCATTTCAGTTAAAAACATGACTTTGGTAGATATTATTATACCCCCCTCAACGAAGTAAGGAGGGGTATACTGGAATCAGCTTGTCTTTCTGGCCGTCTGTCTGGCCGTAGAAAAAGTTTGACCGGACAACTCCTTCTAAAGTAATGGACTGATTTCAACAATACCAGATATGGTAAATATCACCTGAAGCTGTGCATCTAGCTACTTCTTTCATTCTGACCCTTTTTTAAGAAGTTATGGCCCTTTGTTGAAAAATCCTTGTCCGGACATGCCCTTCAAAACCAAGGGGTCAATTTCAACGAAAGTTTCCAAATATGATAACTACTACCTAGTGTTGTGCATACAAGTATTGTTTTATCAATCTGATCCCTTTTTCACGGAGAAATGACCCTTTGTTGAAAAATACTTGTCCAGACCACTCCTCCAAAACTATGGCACCAATTTCAATGGAAGTTTATAGATATGGTAACTGCCCCCCTGACATTGTGCATCCAAGTAGTACGTTTTCATTCTGACCCTTTAAGAGGAGTTATGGCCCTTTGTTGAAAAAAACTCTGTCTGCCTCATAAACTACTGGGCCGATTTCAATGACAGTTTACAGATTTAGGTATTTTTTCATTTCAACCATTTTTAAGGAGTTATGGCCCTTTGTTAAAAATCTTTGTCTTGACAACTCTTTCTTAACTACTAGGACCATTTCAGCTGGTTCATCTGGGCTAACACAATTTGGTATGTAAGAATGTTTGGCATTGGGAGGGAGTACAGAAAGTATGTCAGTGACCTATATACTTACATAATTACCAATGGGTGACTATGGATTGCTTTACAATGCTTTGTCTTAGTTAGCCCTTTGCTTACAGTTCTGGTTTATATAGGAGCGGGTGGTATTAGTTAACCTTTGGCTTACAGTTCTAGGTAATATTCAATTTTGCCTATTGCCCATTCACTAATCAAAATATGAAGGAACATTACATTATTTTATATCGTTACCTCTAAACAAATAAAGCAAGGAAAGATATCCTTGTCCGACTCCCCATACAAACATTTTATTCTAGCAAATTTGATTTTATGACCTTGAACGCATGTCAAGGTCATCAATGTTTACAAAACTTAAATCCATTCATACGAACAACCTGCTTGCCAAATATCAAGACCCAATGATGACCTTTGGTCGTGAAGAAACACAACCTAAAGGAACAAGAGTACCGCAATGCCATATAGTGTTATATACTTTCTTACATTGAAATAAGATCTTCATCATTCAAAGAGTGGTTAGCTGACATGCTATAACAAGAGACCCAATGGGCCTGCATCGCTCACCTGGTATTAATCTCACACTGTAATCTTAAAAGTGGACTAAAATACAGCTACAGGCAGAATATCAGTGTGACCCTGAATGTCAAACTATGACATTAGGTTGAAAGTGGGTCAAGGTCATTCATTTGAACAAATTTGGTAGCCCTGATTGCTGCAGGCCAAATATCAGTACCCTGGGCCTTTTGGTTATTGAGAAGTTGTTTGAAGATTTTAAGACATTTGACACCTATGACCTTGAAAGTTGGTCAAGGTCAATTATTTGAACAAACCTGGTAGCTATTCAACCCAGCATGTTACTGGACAAATATCATCACCCTAGGCCTCTTGATTATTCAGAAGAAGTTGTTTAAAGGTTTTAAACACATTTGACCCCTGTGACCTAGAATATAAACCAAAGTCATTTATTTGAACAAACTTGGTAGCCCTTCATCCCAGCATGCTACTGGCCAAATATAATCACCTTAGGCCTCTTGGTTATTTAGAAGAAGTGGTTTAAATGTTTTGAACATATTTGACCCCTGTGACCTTGAATATAAGTCAAGGTCATTTATTTAAACAAACCTGGTAGCTATTCAACCCAGCATGTTACTGGACAAATATCATCACCCTAGGCCTCTTGATTATTCAGAAGAAGTTGTTTAAAGGTTTTAAACATATTTGACCCCTGTGACCTAAAATATAAATCAAGGTCATTTATTTGAACAAACTTGGTAGCCCTTTGTCCCAGCATGTTACTGGTCAAATATCATCACCCTAGGCCTATCGGTTATTCAGAAGAAGTTGTTGAAAGGTTTTAAACATATTTGACCCCTGTGAGCTTGAATATAAACCATGGTCATTTATTTGAACAAACTTGGTACCCTTTATCCATCATGTTACTGGCCAAATTTAGGCACCCAAGGCCTCTTGGTTATTCAGAAGAAGTTGTTTAAAGGTTTTAAACATATTTGAACCCTGTGACCTTAAATATAAATCAAGGTCATTTATTTAAACAAACTTGGTAGCCCATAATCCCAGCATGTTACTGGCCAAATATCATCACCCTATGCTTCTTGGTTATTCAGAAGTTGTTTGAAGAATTTAACATATTTTACCCCTGTGACCTTGAAAATGGATGAAGGTCATTTATTTGAACAAACTTGGTAGCCCTTCATCCCAGCATGTTACTTGCCAAATATCATTACCCTAGGCCTTTTGGTTACTGAGAAGAAGTTGTTTAAAGTAAAATGTTGCCGATGGACGGATGATGGACGCGGTTGTCAATTTTCTTGAAATTCCTATTGTTGAAAGATATTATTGGTAGCCAACTTTTAAGCAAGTATTGAAATTTCACATACTTTTCTGCTTAAATCTTCAATAAAAAGAACAATTCTTTCTTGAAATAGTGTAATATTCGGTATCAAAATGAAAGTTGGAATATGTTGCACACGATGATGATATAATTTTATAGTAATTGTGTCATTTAAATGCTCTAGGAGGACTTGTGTTACCGCACCTATAACACCCAAACAGGTGTCAGTCAATGAGGTCCCCTTTATCCTAAAATGAATTCTGAAACTAACGGTTCCTTATTTAAGCTTCCTATACCCATACCTTTTTGTAGTTACCTTGTTTTAAAATTCCAAGCGGGGGCTGACGCTAATGTTAAATCTCCATAGGCGATGATCATGACCCTACCTTTAGATATGTCAGAATCGTCTTTTCCAGTAGGCTGTGTCCATCAGGGTGTCGGATTAGACGAGTTTTACTTTATATCAGCTTTACAACAGTACCAGAATTATATGTAAAATCAGTGATATAGTTGAGATAAATAATTTCACAATCTATTCTCCTTACAAATAAGATATACAGAAATAATGTTTTTCAAAATTTAACCTTTTACAAGTTAAATGTGTCTCTAAAATCAAAACAAACTTACTGCAAAAAACAATGACCCGCAAAATCAATTTTGATGATTATACATTTATTTGAATAGATGATACTACAGCTTTTGTAGCTTTTCATTTTGTATAGGCAATGCCTTTCTCCATAACCTAGTCCTTAGAATTCATACAGCCCTTTCTCACAAGAAAACAAACACAAAAGAATGAAACTCTCCTCATGATTCGTAATACTCGACATGTTCCTTCCCCTTGGGTTTCAACACAGTCTCATCTTGAAGATTTACTATCCACCCTGGAGCAAGTCCATAAAATATCTGGCGTGGATCTTTTCTGGCAGACAACATTTCAAACTTCTCATCATCTTTTATGTTGGGTAACTCGTATCCATACTTTTGGGCAAGTTCTAAACGAGCATTACTTATCTCCCTGGGGTTGGCTAAATATCCTCTGTTTTTAGCATCTGTGTAATATTTAAAAACATCAGTAGGTGGAATCTTACATTTGGGAATTGGTATCCCTTTCATAAAGAAATTCTTTGGAGCTACAACAGCCTGGAGAGAAGGTGTGTCGAAAAAACGGGTTGTGATTGTGCCTCCGTTCCTCTCAATGGCTGCAATGACGAGTTCACTGACCCACTGCACTTCAATATTGATCTGTGCATTAAATATGTCAGCTCCCTGTTGTTATAAAAAAAACACTATCTAAGTTTATTATTACAAAGTTGTATAAGATGGAAATTAAACAGAATTATATAGATTATAAACATGATAATAACAGAAAAGTGACATAAAGCGGTGTGATATTAAGTGAAAAGTATTTTACAAGACTTGTTAATCTCAATCTCAAGAAATGAATACAATTGTTTGCTTCTTGTTTAAGTTTATTGCCAAAAAAACCCAGTAATATGTGGGCTTTTTTTGTTCCATATATGGTAGTTTTGGTATTTAGAAAAGTTTTATTTTTTACTTTCTTTTTCACCTTAAATCTGTTCAATCAAATTCTTACTGTGTTGATAATAATAATGATAACATTGCTTAAAATCACTAGTTTAACTTTCAAAAGTTATTTAAGATATTTTTTAATTTCAAAAATAATTTGTGTGATGACAAAACATATTTATTTCTTTTCAAGAAATCCAATAAAGACATTAAAAGTCAGCATTAAGGGCAAACACATTCCTAGGTGGGTGGGTTACTTTGTGCTGGTTTGCCAGCGGAACACTGAATCCGTATTCACTATATGAACTGACTAAGTTATGTATTCACTATATGATCTGACTAAGTTCTGTATTCACTATATGAACTTACTAAGTTATGTATTCACTATAGTGAATACATAACTTGGTCAGTTCATATAGTGAATCCATAACTTAGTCAGTTCATCTAGTGAATATGTAACTTAGTCAGTTCATAATATAGTGAATACATAACTTGGTCAGTTCATATAGTGAATCCATAACTTAGTCAGTTCATTAAGTGAATACGTAACTTTGTCAGTTCATATAGTGAATAAGTAACTTAGTCAGTTCATATTGTGAATACGTAACTTAGTCAGTTCACTATATGAACTGACTAAGTTACGTATTCACTATATGAACTGACTAAGTTGCATATTCACTAAATGAACTGACTAAGTTACATATTCACTATATGAACTGACTAAGTTATGTATTCACTATATGAACTGTCTAAGTTACGAATTCACTATATGAACTGACTAAGTTCTGTATTCACTATATGAACTGACAAAGTTACGTATTCACTATATGAACTGACTAAGTTACGTATTCACTTAATGAACTGACTAAGTTACGTATTCACTATATAAACTGACTAAGTTACGTATTCACTATATGAACTGACAAAGTTACGTATTCACTATATGAACTGACTAAGTTGCGTATTCACTAAATGAACTGACTAAGTTACGTATTCACTATATGAACTGACTAAGTTCTGTATTCACTATATGAACTGACAAAGTTATGTATTCACTATATGAACTGACAAAGTTACGTATTCACTATATGAACTGACTAAGTTACAGAGTTACAACATCATCATGTAAATGTTTGATATGTAGTGTGTGTGATATCGCCAGGTGTGATGCCACAAGTAATGAAACTATAAAATCATGATCTTCATCTAATCATAGCAAATCTTTTAATTCTACATGTACTTATTTTTAGACAACAGGTGTAGTGCTATTTCATATGATTTGAGATTCTCAACCAAATGATAAATAGAATATCCATCTCTATCCTATTCCATCTGACATCTACTAAGAGAAAACTGTGTGAAACCCTTTCCATAAACACCATATGTAATGAGAACTAGTATGAATCCTCTAAAAGTTGAAATCAATTACATTAGTTATATCTAATATCAATATTTATCTATTCAGCTTAGCATGTTTGTAACAGGATATATAATTCTAGATGTAGAACAAAATTGGCTTCTTCTATAATGAAAGAAAAAACAACAAATTGGTTCTTGGCCTTCAAAATCACTGCATTTGAGGACCAACTGTTTGCAAGATGTAAACACCAAGCCCAACGATTCCCTGTCACTTACCTCCTCTGTAAGATGGATGCCATACTGTAACAAGTCCAACAATTCCCTGTCACTTACCTCCTCTGTAAGATGGATGCCATACTGTAACAAGTCCAACAATTCCCTGTCACTTACCTCCTCTGTAAGATGGATGCCATACTGTAACAAGTCCAACAATTCCCTGTCACTTACCTCCTCTGTAAGATGGATGCCATACTGTAACAAGTCCAACAATTCCCTGTCACTTACCTCCTCTGTAAGATGGATGCCATACTGTAACAAGTCCAACAATTCCCTGTCACTTACCTCCTCTGTAAGATGGATGCCATACTGTAACAAGTCCAACAATTCCCTGTCACTTACCTCCTCTGTAAGATGGATGCCATACTGTAACAAGTCCAACAATTCCCTGTCACTTACCTCCTCTGTAAGATGGATGCCATACTGTAACAAGTCCAACAATTCCCTGTCACTTACCTCCTCTGTAAGATGGATGCCATACTGTAACAAGTCCAACAATTCCCTGTCACTTACCTCCTCTGTAAGATGGATGCCATACTGTAACAAGTCCAACAATTCCCTGTCACTTACCTCCTCTGTAAGATGGATGCCATACTGTAACAAGTCCAACAATTCCCTGTCACTTACCTCCTCTGTAAGATGGATGCCATACTGTAACAAGTCCAACAATTCCCTGTCACTTACCTCCTCTGTAAGATGGATGCCATACTGTAACAAGTCCAACAATTCCCTGTCACTTACCTCCTCTGTAAGATGGATGCCATACTGTAACAAGTCCAACAATTCCCTGTCACTTACCTCCTCTGTAAGATGGATGCCATACTGTAACAAGTCCAACAATTCCCTGTCACTTACCTCCTCTGTAAGATGGATGCCATACTGTAACAAGTCCAACAATTCCCTGTCACTTACCTCCTCTGTAAGATGGATGCCATACTGTAACAAGTCCAACAATTCCCTGTCACTTACCTCCTCTGTAAGATGGATGCCATACTGTAACAAGTCCAACAATTCCCTGTCACTTACCTCCTCTGTAAGATGGATGCCATACTGTAACAAGTCCAACAATTCCCTGTCACTTACCTCCTCTGTAAGATGGATGCCATACTGTAACAAGTCCAACAATTCCCTGTCACTTACCTCCTCTGTAAGATGGATGCCATACTGTAACAAGTCCAACAATTCCCTGTCACTTACCTCCTCTGTAAGATGGATGCCATACTGTAACAAGTCCAACAATTCCCTGTCACTTACCTCCTCTGTAAGATGGATGCCATACTGTAACAAGTCCAACAATTCCCTGTCACTTACCTCCTCTGTAAGATGGATGCCATACTGTAACAAGTCCAACAATTCCCTGTCACTTACCTCCTCTGTAAGATGGATGCCATACTGTAACAAGTCCAACAATTCCCTGTCACTTACCTCCTCTGTAAGATGGATGCCATACTGTAACAAGTCCAACAATTCCCTGTCACTTACCTCCTCTGTAAGATGGATGCCATACTGTAACAAGTCCAACAATTCCCTGTCACTTACCTCCTCTGTAAGATGGATGCCATACTGTAACAAGTCCAACAATTCCCTGTCACTTACCTCCTCTGTAAGATGGATGCCATACTGTAACAAGTCCAACAATTCCCTGTCACTTACCTCCTCTGTAAGATGGATGCCATACTGTAACAAGTCCAACAATTCCCTGTCACTTACCTCCTCTGTAAGATGGATGCCATACTGTAACAAGTCCAACAATTCCCTGTCACTTACCTCCTCTGTAAGATGGATGCCATACTGTAACAAGTCCAACAATTCCCTGTCACTTACCTCCTCTGTAAGATGGATGCCATACTGTAACAAGTCCAACAATTCCCTGTCACTTACCTCCTCTGTAAGATGGATGCCATACTGTAACAAGTCCAACAATTCCCTGTCACTTACCTCCTCTGTAAGATGGATGCCATACTGTAACAAGTCCAACAATTCCCTGTCACTTACCTCCTCTGTAAGATGGATGCCATACTGTAACAAGTCCAACAATTCCCTGTCACTTACCTCCTCTGTAAGATGGATGCCATACTGTAACAAGTCCAACAATTCCCTGTCACTTACCTCCTCTGTAAGATGGATGCCATACTGTAACAAGTCCAACAATTCCCTGTCACTTACCTCCTCTGTAAGATGGATGCCATACTGTAACAAGTCCAACAATTCCCTGTCACTTACCTCCTCTGTAAGATGGATGCCATACTGTAACAAGTCCAACAATTCCCTGTCACTTACCTCCTCTGTAAGATGGATGCCATACTGTAACAAGTCCAACAATTCCCTGTCACTTACCTCCTCTGTAAGATGGATGCCATACTGTAACAAGTCCAACAATTCCCTGTCACTTACCTCCTCTGTAAGATGGATGCCATACTGTAACAAGTCCAACAATTCCCTGTCACTTACCTCCTCTGTAAGATGGATGCCATACTGTAACAAGTCCAACAATTCCCTGTCACTTACCTCCTCTGTAAGATGGATGCCATACTGTAACAAGTCCAACAATTCCCTGTCACTTACCTCCTCTGTAAGATGGATGCCATACTGTAACAAGTCCAACAATTCCCTGTCACTTACCTCCTCTGTAAGATGGATGCCATACTGTAACAAGTCCAACAATTCCCTGTCACTTACCTCCTCTGTAAGATGGATGCCATACTGTAACAAGTCCAACAATTCCCTGTCACTTACCTCCTCTGTAAGATGGATGCCATACTGTAACAAGTCCAACAATTCCCTGTCACTTACCTCCTCTGTAAGATGGATGCCATACTGTAACAAGTCCAACAATTCCCTGTCACTTACCTCCTCTGTAAGATGGATGCCATACTGTAACAAGTCCAACAATTCCCTGTCACTTACCTCCTCTGTAAGATGGATGCCATACTGTAACAAGTCCAACAATTCCCTGTCACTTACCTCCTCTGTAAGATGGATGCCATACTGTAACAAGTCCAACAATTCCCTGTCACTTACCTCCTCTGTAAGATGGATGCCATACTGTAACAAGTCCAACAATTCCCTGTCACTTACCTCCTCTGTAAGATGGATGCCATACTGTAACAAGTCCAACAATTCCCTGTCACTTACCTCCTCTGTAAGATGGATGCCATACTGTAACAAGTCCAACAATTCCCTGTCACTTACCTCCTCTGTAAGATGGATGCCATACTGTAACAAGTCCAACAATTCCCTGTCACTTACCTCCTCTGTAAGATGGATGCCATACTGTAACAAGTCCAACAATTCCCTGTCACTTACCTCCTCTGTAAGATGGATGCCATACTGTAACAAGTCCAACAATTCCCTGTCACTTACCTCCTCTGTAAGATGGATGCCATACTGTAACAAGTCCAACAATTCCCTGTCACTTACCTCCTCTGTAAGATGGATGCCATACTGTAACAAGTCCAACAATTCCCTGTCACTTACCTCCTCTGTAAGATGGATGCCATACTGTAACAAGTCCAACAATTCCCTGTCACTTACCTCCTCTGTAAGATGGATGCCATACTGTAACAAGTCCAACAATTCCCTGTCACTTACCTCCTCTGTAAGATGGATGCCATACTGTAACAAGTCCAACAATTCCCTGTCACTTACCTCCTCTGTAAGATGGATGCCATACTGTAACAAGTCCAACAATTCCCTGTCACTTACCTCCTCTGTAAGATGGATGCCATACTGTAACAAGTCCAACAATTCCCTGTCACTTACCTCCTCTGTAAGATGGATGCCATACTGTAACAAGTCCAACAATTCCCTGTCACTTACCTCCTCTGTAAGATGGATGCCATACTGTAACAAGTCCAACAATTCCCTGTCACTTACCTCCTCTGTAAGATGGATGCCATACTGTAACAAGTCCAACAATTCCCTGTCACTTACCTCCTCTGTAAGATGGATGCCATACTGTAACAAGTCCAACAATTCCCTGTCACTTACCTCCTCTGTAAGATGGATGCCATACTGTAACAAGTCCAACAATTCCCTGTCACTTACCTCCTCTGTAAGATGGATGCCATACTGTAACAAGTCCAACAATTCCCTGTCACTTACCTCCTCTGTAAGATGGATGCCATACTGTAACAAGTCCAACAATTCCCTGTCTCTTACCTCCTCTGTAAGATGGATGCCATACTGTAACAAGTCCAACAATTCCCTGTCTCTTACCTCCTTTGTAAGATGGATGCCATACTGTAACAAGTCCAACAATTCCCTGTCACTTACCTCCTCTGTAAGATGGATGCCATACTGCTTCTGCATGGGGAGGACCCTTATTAGACCTGTGTTACATATTGATGTCAGATCTAGGGGTTCACTGCTGTCCACACGGTTCAGTTCAATCATTCGCTGGAGCTGAAGCAGGGATACTGGTACATACTCCTTGCGTAAACTGTAATACAAATCAATGGAATACGCCCATCATGGTTGTAAGGTCATGGATATTTGTTGAAGCTGTTCTGGTACATTATTACTGATGATTTTGAATCTGTAATTGTAATGTTTATGTTTTTCCAGGGAATTTTGGGGAAACAAAAGCTTGATTATACAAGAGCCCAATGGGCCTAAATCACTCACCTGGTATTTACCTCGCACTTGTAACCTTAAAAGTAGACTACGGAAAAATAAAGCAACTGGCAAAATATCAGTATCTATGACTCAAAGTCATTCGAAACATAAGCTGTTAAAAGATTTAAACTTAAGTTCATAAGTTCACTAGTCCTTTGGACCAGGTTAGCTAAAAACTCCAAACAAATTACATTTAGGAGGAATAACTACCATATTGCATTTGAAATGGAAACATAATCTGTACCAAGTGACATATACATAGGTAAGGGAAACACTGACCTGTTATACTGATGCTGAGCGAAATTTAGTATAAGTAACTCATGTCTGTCAGAGCTCTACTTACTGGTGATTTTCATAGTATGGCTCCTTCGGTATCATGAGATAGAAGGGTGTGTTGTTACCCTCAAATCCTATCCTAGGTAGGGTGCCTCTAGCTCCTTGACCTTTGATACCTCTTCCATGAGTGTTACCCTTTTTAACACTTCGTCTGCGATTTACCTGATAGAAAACAAAACCTGTATCAATTCTGAAAAGTCCTTGGGTCTAAATTAAATCACTGTTGTTAAAATGCTAAAAAAAAAAGGGGGGGGATGGGATTTTTCAGCCAAATTCTTTGTTTTTGGCAACTTCAAGTATGCAGTGGAACATGTACACGAAGAACAGAATTTCAGTCAGGCTAGATCTTCTTGGGAATCTAGTCAGATGACCTGTTCTAGACTTACTGTAACCAATGAATGGAACCTGCAAGCACTGTCAGTACTGTCTTATACAGGTTGAAGTGTTTGAAACCAAGCTGTAAACCTTTCACCAACATCAATGCCTATAATACAGAGAATGTTCTGGTTGAATGTAGTGTCTCACAAGGAAGTGTACCCGATAGTGAGAATGGATTCTATAGCAAACATCACAAAGAGTCGCAGATGGCAATGGATTGAGAATGTCTAATGAAAAAGTTCCCCACATAACTGGAGGGGTCCGAAGACAATACTATGATTAATTCTCAGGCTCTCTAGATCTTTAATTAAGTAAAATGACGGTCATTAATATTATAATGATCATGTGAGGTGCAGGAATAAACATTTTGTTACATCGAAAACGGATGAGGAAAGATGTGACTCATGTTTTAAATATCTTGTTTCGAGATACAAGTTTCTGAAACAAAAGTGATGTGATAATAATAATAATAATTTGAGGTTCTTGTATACCGCTTTACCACAACCTAGTTTGTAGGTTGTCTCGAAACGGTTCACAAATTATTTTCTGTGGTTATAGGGCCTTTGCAACCAGCCAATATCTTTCTCAACTCCCTAGGGAGCATACAGCCGGTGCTGATTTGATTATTACATATGGTACATTAGGAGGCATGTACTTTCTGGTATGGTAAATCATAAGCAAGCCATCTTCATCAAGTAGGATTTGGTTATTTTGGACAAAATATGAAGAAATATCAGTTTTCATAAACTGGGAAATCAACTAACCAACTGGTACTCTATAGCTATCATCAGACATGCACCAGGAACTGCACCCCTCTGTCCTGACAATACTGTTGTGAGAGCTGAAAAGTAAATAATATGATATCTGCACTGGGTAGTGCGGTGTCGTATTTGGCAGTATTCAGTTAGTATTAGGTCAAATCCAAAAGAGTTAGGTAGTATCGGGTCATAGTCTCGGTAATTTGGTGATGTTTTCTGCACCAAATCGCATATTTTCATGTAATATATGGCAGATAAGTAAATAACTTCTATAAAGGTGATATTTCACAGTATTAAAGTAGTATTGGGTACATAACTTGGTTGTATGGGGTAGTACAATTTGATGGTTTGGTTTGGTTTAATTTTGTTTAACTGGGGGAAGGGGGTGTGTGCAGTTGGAAGCATGGTTCCTGGCATGGGCGTCAGATGACTCACCCCAAAACCGAAACACCCCAGGCTGGTACGCCCCACAATTTTCTTCCATGAAAGTCATTTATTTGACAAATATTTAAGAGAAATATCTACCGTACCTTTAATGTAATATTTGTAAAGTCTTTTAAGATAGAAATTATAAAAATAAGATCTGTTGCAATTCATTTGATGTTTATATGCGGATTGGTCGAGTGGTTAACACTCCGGCCTTCCACGCATGCAGCCTGTTGGTGTTCGATCCCCAAAGTCGGCATTCGCATGGATATTCAGAGAAAGTGTTATTCTCCTTCCCACACAACTCCAACAACCCAGGTGGAGTTAAATTGGTCGGGGGTGGATGTTGTGGTATCTGTGCTGTAGCATTCAAGTGAGGTGGCACTATAAATGATGCTGTTGGAAGCACGGTCCCACTACAAACAGAACATGTTACATCTCCAGCACACACGCAGGCATACACACATAGGGAGATATTAGCCAGATGGCATAGGACTAGTAATTAGCGCCAGATAAGGCAGGTTCTGCAAATTCCTCAAAAATTGTATTGATTAACGAACCTATATGCTAATTGTATTGATTGCATATCTATGTACTGTAAAGCGCTTTAGAGTGGCTTATGTTAGCTAGATATGGCGCTATATCAAATGTTGTATATTTATTTATTTATTTGGGACATAATTCTTGTGCCATAGATCGATAATTTACCATATCTATAGTACATATATTAGGCATGTATTTGTATATTTTAGATAATATAATAAGTGTATAAGATAACTAGTTTATAATTATACATGCGTACCGTAGATCGAAAAAAATAATCATTGTGTTATGTTTGTTGCAAAAGAGAATGTGTGCTTTTATTTGAACATAGATCTATTTCTTTTTCCAAATAAGTATTGCTTTTATTTTTCATAAAAATAAAGTTGGGTCGAAATGGTCTGGTGTGAAACGGATTTTGGGGCGAAACGTCAGTGTCGTCTGCAATTCTCCTGGCATATACAGCAAACATAACACTGAAAAACTATCGCCCAACACACAAGAAAACACGTACACCCCAGGAGGACATTGTCAAAATACTCTGTAAGTTTGAGTAGAATTACCCCTACATCAATACACTCGGATCCGGGTCGTTTCGCCCTAAATCCCGTTCCGTTCGCATTTCGAATGTAACAGATATTGCCATTTATTTTACGGCACTATTAAAAACAATATTGAACAGCTGTGATACGTATGTACCTTGTGTGGTTTAGATCCAGGCATATCTTTAAGGTTCCCCAGAGAGACTCTAGGGAAAGTCCGCAAAAGGCTCAGCGCCTTATCGACGACCTTGCCAGCCATGTTGGAAAGTGCACCAGCTCAGAGAAACGCTTAAAATTTGGCTTTTATTTAAATCGCTTCTCTGACTCAGCTCAGCAACGAATGTTTGGAACTCTCTAATGTTTACATGTGATACCATGCCTGAGCATGAAAAAACAAGATAGCTTATGGAATAAAATTGCTAAGAAACCGGGATCAAGTAATTTGTAAAGATGGTATTAAGTAAGTATTTTACACTAAGTATCCTATTTTTGGCTTACATGAACCACGTCCGCCTTTCATATTTGTAAAATTCTAGAAGTTTCTATACCATACGATACTACTGTGTCTATTTCATCAGCTGGTCATTGTTTCTCATACAATAAGTAAGAACATTTAGTAGGTCTATATAGTAGATATTTTTCAACATATTTTTTTTTTCTTGTACGGATAACTTTTTTGTTTCTTATATGGAAATTTCAATCAATTCCCTGCCGTAGACTAGCTGTTCCATATTTAAGTTCTAGTGCTTTACTAATATGATGTAAGAGGAGAAGAAAAATGCACGGACAGACCGGGGTTCGAACCCAGGACCTTTCGAACTCTAGACAGACAGTTTACCAATTGAGCTACTTGGTCACTGACGATCGACTCAGTCCAGTTTCGCTACAATGATACTCTTTTTATCATCAATCAGAAAACAATCCATGTGTGGATTATATGTGGATATGTAAATAAGATCTCTCTCATATTTAATGTCTGACATAGTTTTGACCGTACAAATAAACAGGTAATGTTCAATTGATGCTGAAAAAGAAGATCGTATGAGAGCTTGACAGAGTCAATTGCCACTCTGGTGTCCAAGCACTCCTGTATAATGTAAAAAGTCTCTGGTTGGCCGATTTTCTATGATTATTTATATAATATTATGCTGACTGTGTTACGTAACACCTGTCAAAAGTGTATTGTTGGAATAACTACCAGCTTGCTCAATGGTAAGAGTACCAGTGTCTCTGTAGACTTCCCCTGTGTTCTTGTTTCATTCTGCCCTATCCTGGTCCTATTATGGATATTGGTGTCTGCTGATCCAGTTAATGGTATTAGTACTTTGGGGAATTGAAGCTGGCAGATCTGGACCACAGCGATCACTGGTGACTGCTTTGCCACATGGGATGTGGTTAGGGGAATGTCCCCTTCCACTCTAATCCCCTTATATTAGTGCTTTGTTTTTTGTACAATCTATCCCCTGCCAGAGCCTCTAAAACTACCCTTGGTATGGGTAGCAGTGTACAGTAGCGTACAATGGCCATGGGTGATATTTTTACACAATGAACAACCCCTGTAATATTACATGTATCAATTTTTTTTAAATCAGCACTAAAATTGGCATATACAAGATGAAGTGGACTATGTGGGCTTTATAATTAAAAAAAAAAAAATCAAATTTGGTTTGAGACTACAGTTTTGGGCATTTACAAGTCTGTGTCTACACAACAAAAGCTAGCTTTTCATGTAGTCTCTTTTTGTACTCGGCACATGTGTAAATATTGTGAAAAATCTACCGGAATGACCTATGCTAAAACGTGAGTATTTCTGTTACCGAGTAGGCGATATTTAATTTCAGACAGGTTTTAAGAAAAAATTCTGCTGTACACTGCTACCATGTCATAATTATACATAAATATGTGGGTTGTTTTCCTGTATAAAAATGTATTGCAGTATCCGTATCTTCTGATCAGAAAGTTTGTAGTGCAATTTGTCTGCAGTTCTAGGCTCTTGGGTATGCGAACTACAGGCTTGCAGTTTTAGATTTTCTAATCACTGATTAGCTAACCCAGGTTTACTGGCTAAAGGTGGACTTTCAGGAAAAATTGAGGTGGATGAGTAACCATTTGATTAGTGGTGAACAAATTCATGTAGCTCAGTTGGTACTTGGTAGAGGGCAATGGTATTTTCTCATTTCATTATAAATTTATTATAAATATCAAAAGTTGATGCAAATCCAATTGTGTAAATATTTGAAACAAACTTATTTTCCAGATTCATGAATGAAAACATTTGTATTACAATACCCCTTGTATTGTGTCCGCATTTACTTTAATCCCCATGCTTACCCTGATCAGTGATCAGTATCCAATCAAATAGGGAGCACTACAAATTTTGTTCTTTTCTTTTCAGTAACTGAAAATCTCATTAGGAAGCGAGCAGAGCACAACAATTTAGAGATTTCAACCCTAGAAGAGGTGTCCTTGCATCAACAGGACATTGAGAGGTAAATATTTCAATAATAGATGTATGCATTGTTTATAATTTCCCTTTTACTCTTTATCTGTCATTGCAGTTTTATAGAAGGTCCTTCTCATGGTGCTGAAATAATCCCAGATTTTAATTGTACATATGATTACGGGCATCTTCTAGTTTCGAGCTAGAGGGAATTTCCCTTTAGCTCAGTGGTAGAGCGTCCGACTAGGAACCTAGGGATAACAGGTTCGATACTTGGTGGAAGCACGCTATTCTTTTTCCTGTTACAAATGGTGTCCGTGGCCCTCCCTGTGATGACAGGGAGTTAGAACATGGGTTTTGGTGTTCGAGGGCAAACACATTTAAAAAGGGCAGATTTCAATTGTACATATGATAGCTTCGAGCTAGAGGGAATTTCCCTTTAGCTTCATCTTAGAGCGTCCGACTAGGAACCTAGAGATCGGGGGTTGAATCCTCGATGGAAGCACACTATTCTCTTTCCTGTTACACATGTATAACTATACCTATGCAGTGTAGCTGTTAAATAAAGAGTATATTTACCGGACTGAGTTTTATTTATAATTGGTGTAATTAGAGGATTTTAGTTTATTATGTAAATTGTCTTCCAGGATTGAGTATATTGATAAATGGTGTAGAGAATTGAAGATCCTTTACCTACAGAGCAACCTCATCCCCAAAATTGGTAAGTTGTTGTTTCCTTATGATAGTGCTTCATGTGAATCTGTATTTATTTTGATCTATTTTTCTTTTCAATTTGATTTCATTTGCATTATTTTTTGGAAAATTAAGGGGGAAAAGTATTTGATATTGAAAAAAACAACCATATGTTTAACTATATAAACTTTCAAAAGTAATTAAATTTTGCTTAAAATCATGAGGAACCAGACAAATACTTGATTGGTATGGTATTCAATTCTGTGTTCATTCATTTGACTGCAAGCTTTTGAGTGAAATGAAATGCTTAATGAAAATTACAGCCCGAAATAAATATTAAAGTGTAAGAGGTTGTAATCTGAATGTGTGGTGTAAACATTTGATTTGTAGTGATATAAAGTGCTAGCCTTTTCAAATTGGGGTCCTAAACAAGTAAACAATTGGATATACAAAGGAACATGAGAAAAAACCCTGAGAAATATAAGGTCTCTCGCAATTGCATTGCTTCTTTTCATACAGAATACAGGATAGTTATACAGGATAGTTATACAGGACAGTTATACAGGATAGTTATACAGGATAGTTATACAGGATAATTATACAGGATAGTTATACAGGACATGTACAGTTATACAGGACAGTTATACAGGATAGTTATACAGGACATGTACAGTTATACAGGATAGTTATACAGGACCGCAGAGATAGTGTAGTAGTATTTCAGTACACAATATCAGCCGTCGAATAAAATTACAATGAATAAAATACTCTGTATAGATAAATTTTGATTAAATGCCCTGTACTGTATTTCATTTGCTACCCAATTACAGTCAATGTATTTCAGGATCTCAAATTCCTTTTTTTCCTGAACAATTCCTTACTATGTCTACCTTAATATATAGTGTACACTTGTATCTACGAACCTCTTTATAATGCCAAACTGTGCTAGAAAAATGGTGGCAGTATAGTAAATTTTTACTTTGCTGTTTACCACTTCATTAGAGGGGGTCATTTCTTTCTCTATAGAGATTTACCATTGCATGTAAAAGAAAAATAAACATGATAGAAACTGCTGATACTGAAAAAAAAATGCTGTTAAATGTGACTGTAAGAAAGGAATTTTAACATTTTGTTTTTGTTTTTCAGAAAATGTTTCAAGGTTGAAAAAGTTACAGTACATCAATCTTGCACTGAACAATGTGGAGAGAATTGAGAATTTAGAAGGTAATTTAACAATCACACTCTTTTTCCCGAGGAAACTGGACTACTGGTGTATGATTGTTTTACTCCAACTAACTTTGAGCAACAACATACTCATTATGTTGGCAAATGTGCTAGCATCAGGAGGCACGGTAGTCTAGTGGTAGGACGCCGGGCTCATGACCGAAGGGTTGCAGGTTTGACTCACGTCACAGCACTGTGTTGTATCTTTGAGCAAGATGCTTTACTCCGCTTGTTCCAGTTTACTCAGCTGTAAATGAATATGTGGTAGGGCAGTGCTAGAATTGTTGAATGCTAGCTGTGAATGGCAGCACTGGCTGTATGCTCCCTAGTGAGTTGAGAAAGATATTGGCTGGTTGCAAAGGCCCTATAACCACGGATAATAATTTGTTAACCGCTTTGAGACGACCTACGGACTAGGTTGTGATAAAGCGGTGTATATATAAGAACCTCAGATTATTATTATTAAATGTAAACAAAGGGACAATGATGTGAGCTAACTTTGAAATTGCTTTCATTGTCAACTAAGAAAAGATCAAAATATAATCGACTAAAAGATCATTTATTGATGTTCACCAACAAAATAACTATTACGAAAATTGGCTTATGTATGTAAAAGACTTACTGGTGCTGGCTAACGAAAAAAAAAAAAATCATTAAAGGAAGTATAAAAATAAATTGTCGATATTGGTTAACAAAGGAATTATTTAGTTTGGCCAAGAAAGGAATTATCATTAAATTTGGTCAGATTCATAAGACCTTGGTGTAGTAGTCATTCTCAGGAGAAGAAACTGGCTAGCTGGTTTTTCCACAGCTAACCAGTTTCTCTGGATGAAATAAAGAAATCTTGAAGTAATGTTAAACATGTAGCTTTCTCCGATAATTTATTTCTAATTGCATAATGTCACATGTAGTGTATCTCATTTATTATTCCAGGATGCGAATCACTTCAGAAATTGGATTTGACTGTGAACTTTGTTGGAGAAGTCACGAGTATAGAATGTCTTAGAGACTTGGTTCACTTTAAAGAATTGTGAGTAACATTTTAACTAACAAAGCCCGGTAAAACCTTGTTATATTGTCACCCAATGTTAACTAACAAAGCCCGGTAAAACCTTGTTATATTGTCACCCTATGTTAACTTACAAAGCCCGGTAAAATCTTGTTATATTATCACCCTATGTTAACTAACAAAGCCCGGTAAAACCTTGTTATGTTGTCACCCTATGTTAACTTACAAAGCCCGGTAAAATCTTGTTATATTGTCACCCTATGTTAACTAACAAAGCCCAGTAAAATCTTGTTATATTGTCGCCCTATGTTAACTAACAAAGCCCGGTAAAATCTTGTTATATTGTCACCATATGTTAACTAACAAAGCCTGGTAAAACCTTGTCATATTGTCACCCTATGTTAACTAACAAAGCCCGGTAAAACCTTGTTATATTGTCACCATATGTTAACTAACAAAGCCTGGTAAAACCTTGTTATATTGTCACCCTATGTTAGCCAACAAAGCCCGGTAAAACCTTGTTATATTGTCACCCAATGTTAACTAACAAAGCCCGGTAAAACCTTGTTATATTGTCACCATATGTTAACTAACAAAGCCTGGTAAAACCTTGTTATATTGTCACCCTATGTAAAGCAAATTCTTGGCATTTTAAACATGAATACCAAAATATTACATTAGGCCTATAACCGCTAATGTGGTATTGATCAAATTTTCCCCATTCATTGAATTTGCATTATGCAACAGCTAAAATAATTTAAATTCAAACTAAACTGTGCTAAAACTCTATCTTTTCGTTGGAACAGGTACCTGACAGGGAACCCATGTGTCCAGTTTGAGGGTTATCGACAATATGTGATAGCAACTCTTCCCAGATTGAAGGTAAGGAAGATTGTGATCGGTTTAAATGTAATCTATTTTGCTATTTTGGTGTTTTAATGAGATAACAGTTGACGAGAACTTGCCTCATGGGCCTCTTGTTTTTCATAATTAAGTGTTAGTGTAATGATTAATTTTGAAACCAAAATGTGAATGCTTTGCATTAGTTTTTGATAAAATAAGCCCATTTTGTCAGATTTTCATGAAAATATCTGAAGCTTGTTTGATAAAAACCATGTACGGGTACCTGGTAATAAAAACTCGTTAGAGATTATTTATATGCAATACATTTATAGACAAGTCACAATATATGACTTCAATAAGGTTATGGTGATGATTCTCTTCCAGAAGTTGGACGGAATTGACATAGAAAAATCTGAGAGAATCCTAGCCTGCCAGGTAAGATTATTTGTTTGTTTACTATCTATATATAATTTTTAATTAATTCTGCAGCTTGTCTAGATCTGCTACTGTATCTATTCCATGGTCCCAACATTTTTGACATAACAAGTTTCTATTCAATAATCATCTAAGTGTAACTATTTTTGCATCTTAAGGAAAGAGGCTAATGAAATGTATAAGCAAACCTGTTTCCTCACAGAATTATTTGTTTTTAGGACTACGGCACTGTAAGGGCAGAGATTGTACGCCAACAAATACAGCACAAGAAAAAGCGGGTGAGTTTTGATACAATATGAAATAGATGTTGAACACTGTTTGAAGGATATTTTAATGATGTATGTGCTGGTAGAATCCAAGTCTACAATAAACTTCAGAATTTTCCTCTTAATCATCAAATTGACATCAATATGTAGATCTTGTCCGGCATGTTTGTAACAGCATCAGCTTCCAAAAGAAAAACAATCATAGAAAAAAATATCATTTATGTCAATAATAAATGTGATAGAATTATGAACAGTTATCACAGCATGATTTTATCAACATAATATCAGATAGATATTCTAATGTTGTATTCTGATATTTAGGAAAATGGAGAATAAGGCAACCATTTTCAATCATGGCTATCAACCCAACAGACAAGAAAAAGAAAAGATCAAACTTCTATAGAAATAAAAAATCTTATGATTGTGGGTAACAAGATCCTCGTGATCTTTAGTACACTGTTGACAGGTATCTTGATAAAATCTTAAATATGTCTGAATCACCCACACCAAGTGTGGAGTGGACTACATTGATGTCACCCAGACACTGACCTCCAGTGGCCTAATAAGTGCAGACGTACGTGTCTACAGTATAAACAAATATATTAAACAGGTGCCAAAACTTGACCAACATTGTTTAGCCAATATCAAATGAGCCAGAAAGAAAACTCAATGGGGAAAGGCTTATAAAACCCTGTTAACCTCTACTTTGTTATTCTTTCATAGAAAACACAATAAGAAAAACAGCAAATATGCATTGTTCACAAGAATTAATCTCACGATTAACTTGATCTTATGCTGTAATGTGACTGATAAATTATTAATCTTAATATAATTCTGATCCCGTATTGAGGTGATTATCACCTGCCTTTACTTGTGTGTTCTGGACGACGCTGAGACTCATTAATCAGAAAGAACTTTAATTGTAACACTGACATAAAAGTGGATGCTGCATGTTTGTTTGTATGCTAGGAAAAAGAGAAGAGAGAAGCCAAATTGCAAGAAGAACAAGAGAAAAAGGGTAAAGAACTGATAGAGGGAAAAAAGGAGGAGAAACCTGGATTTGATGGGCGTTGGTACACAGACATCAATGAAAGGTAAGCTTTGTTGTTGTTGGGGGGAGGGGGCGGGGAGGGGGCGGGGAGGCAGAATTAAAATGAGTCTGAACTGAAACAACAATGGTGGCATCCGTCATGTTAAGAGATCTTTATAACATATGTCAGTTAGCCATAGTTCTGTTGCCTTTCATCTCCTTACAAGCAGGTTTAATCATTTAATATTCATTGATGCTTTACTTGTTTACAGTGACAAAAAGAAAAGTGAGGAAGAGAGAAAGTTAGAAGAAGAAAATAATAAAAAAGAGTTCCTTGAGAAGGAGAAAGAACAAGATGAAAAGGAAAAAGAGTAAGTCTAGATTTTAATCCTTTCCTTTAGATACAGCAATGTTTTTTTTCTTCTCTATCTATAGTTGATTAGTGCTTATGTATGCTTTCCTTTATCACCGAAACTTATCATACCTGAGACCTTTGTTATTATATACTAGACCATTTATTTATCTCTTGAACCTTCATTACTAGGTACACTCCTTGACCTTTTATTATATCCTAGTCACTATATTGCATCCTTTGACCTTTCTTATGTCATTTGATCCCTTATTAAACCCTTTGACTCTTTTTAATGCTCTGGACTCTTTCTTGCACCCTGTGACCCTTTATTGCACCCTTCGATGTTTGAATATACCTGTGACCCTTTATTGCACCCTTTGATGTTTGATTATACCTGGGACTCTTTATTGCACCCTTTGATGTTTGATTAAACCAGGGCAGTTTATTGCACCCTTTGATGATTGATTATACCTTGGACCCTTTATTGCACCCTTTGATGTTTGATTATACCCGCGACCCTTTATTGCACCCTTTGATGATTGATTATACCCGCGACACTTTATTGCACCCTTTGATGTTTGATTATACCCGGGACCCTTTATTGCACCCTTTGATGTTTGATTATACCTGTGACACTTTATTGCACCCTTTGATGTTTGATTAAACCAGGGACCCTTTATTGCACTCTTTGATGTTTGATTATACCTGTGACCTTTTATTGCACCCTTTGATGTTTGATTATACCTGTGACCCTTTATTGCCCCCTTTGATGTTTGATTATACCTGTGACCCTTTATTGCACTCTTTGATGTTTGATTATACCTGTGACCTTTTATTGCACCCTTTGATGTTTGATTATTCCTGTGACCCTTTATTGCACCCTTTGATGATTGATTATACCCCCGACCCTTTATTGTACCCTTTGATGTTTGATTATACCTGTGACCCTTTATTGCACCCTTTGATGTTTGATTATACCAGGGACCCTTTATTGCACCCTTTGATGTTTGATTAAACCTGGGACCCTTTATTGCACCCTTTGATGTTTGATTATACCGGTGACCCTTTATTGCACCCTTTGATGATTGATTATACCCCCGACCCTTTATTGTACCCTTTGATGTTTGATTATACCTGTGACCCTTTATTGCCCCCTTTGATGTTTGATTATACCTGTGACCCTTTATTGCCCCCTTTGATGATTGATTATACCCCCGACCCTTTATTGCACCCTTTGATGTTTGATTATACCTTTGACCCTTTATTGCACCCTTTGATGTTTGATTATACCCAGGACCCTTTATTGCACCCTTTGATGTTTGATTATACCTGTGACACTTTATTGCACCCTTTGATGTTTGATTAAACCAGGGACCCTTTATTGCACCCTTTGATGTTTGATTATACCTGTGACCCTTTATTGCACCCTTTGATGATTGATTATACCCCCGACCCTTTATTGTACCCTTTGATGTTTGATTATACCTGTGACCCTTTATTGCACCCTTTGATGTTTGATTATACCCGGGAACCTTTATTGCACCCTTTGATGTTTGATTATACCTGTGACCCTTTATTGCACCCTTTGATGTTTGATTATACCAGGGACACTTTATTGCACCCTTTGATGTTTGATTATACCAGGGACCCTTTATTGCACCCTTTGATGTTTGATTAAACCAGGGACACTTTATTGCACTCTTTGATGTTTGATTATACCTGTGACCTTTTATTGCACCCTTTGATGTTTGATTATACCAGGGACCCTTTATTGCACCCTTTGATGTTTGATTACACATGGGACCCTTTATTGCACCCTTTGACACTTAATTACACTCTGGACCCTTTATTACACTCTGGACCCTTTATTACACCTTTGACCCTTTATTGCACCCTTGACCCTTTATTACGTCCTTTGATCCCTTATTATGCTTGAAACCTTATTCTGCACCCTTTGACCCCTTTTTTTATACCTGGGACCCTTTATTACGCCCTTTATCACATAAGACACTTATAATGTAGTTGATAAAGGAGCTATGCACATATACCTGTGTAGTATAATTATGTGCTGTGGAAATTTATTCTTAGAATTTTGCGTTTTCTGAAACAGTATGAAAATATACTCACTCAGAAAATATATAGTATATCCGATATTTTTCATGAGTTTTCCAGTTACAGGTGAAATGATTAAATTGCCAAAAATCAAACAAAATCTTTTAACACATACTGAAAAATACCACACATTGATACAAAAGTGAAAAATCAGTCACTTGATTTCCTTCATTTGCATAAAAAATAAGTATGTAATATTTCCTGATACTAAGTATAACACTGTAACCTTTCACCTTTGTTCATTAGGTACTGGCAGAAACCGTGTGCATTTACCCCAGAGTCACGAGTGGAGGTCCACAATCATATGAAGGAGCAAAGAGAACGCAAGGAGGAGCCCAAGTAAGTCCCCACACTACTGGGTATCTGTCATACCTATGTATCCCATCTATGGTGGAGAATAAGAGGTCGGATCAAAGGCAGTCCACTCCAGGATCAATTATTAGTATAACGTTGTGTATATAGAACTTATATTACAGTGTAACCTCGTTACCTTGGTAACCTCATGTTGAAAAAAGTTTGACCTACTGTATTCTATTTAATTAACTCACTTTATCCTTTCTTGTATTCCATTCCTTCAAAATAATTTTATGACTATGTGTTTGTTATGACAATTTTTTTGAGAAATTTGGAAGTTCTTCGATCATTCTAATATTCGAAATAATTGGTGTTTGAGTGTTTGCTAGGTCAAGTAGAACAGGGGGGTGGTCAAGTACAGTAAAAAAAAAAGTAATAATTACCATATCCTTACCTGTTATTTGGTGCGAAATTTTAATCAGATTAGGATAATATTATTGGATCATTGCTGAACCGTTAAAAAGATTCAATGATAAATCACGTACGATATATTTTGACTATTCAACGTTTTCCATGACAATCTTTACTTTTTTAGAGAAAAGCCCAAACCTCCGCGGCGTTTCTTTATGGAAGATGGACGACCTCTGAACATAAATGAATCAAAGTAAGTTAGATAACACATCTTGTACCTGTAACACATTAAATGCTAACTGACACAACCTCACTGGAGATATCCATCAAAAGTTCTGATTGATTAAATGTTTGTAAAGACCACAAGAATGTGTTACATTTGTATTAACACTCAGGTGTTTCTGAATTATTACGTAATTATTATATTTCATTGTTAATAACCAAAAATTGTTAGACAGCAATACAAGTGCTTACATTTATTTTTTTCCAAAAACTATGCACATGCAGCATTCTGCCAAAAACCTCCCACGTATTGTAATATATATACCTCCCACGTATTGTAATATAAACCTCCTATGTATTGTAATATAAACCTCCCATGTATGGTAATATATACCTCCCACGTATTGTAATATAAACCTCCTATGTATTGTAATATAAACCTCCCATGTATTGTAATATATACCTCCCACGTATTGCAATATAAACCTCCCACGTATTGTATTATATACCTCCCGCGTATTGTAATATAAACCTCCCACGTATTGTAATATAACCCTCCCACGTATTGTAATATAAACCTCCCACGTATTGTAATATAACCCTCCCACGTATTGTAATATAAACCTCCCACGTATTGTAATATAAACCTCCTATGTATTGTAATATAAACCTCCCATGTATGGTAATATATACCTCCCACGTATTGTAATATAAACCTCCTATGTATTGTAATATAAACCTCCCATGTATTGTAATATATACCTCCCACGTATTGTAAGCACATGCAGCATTCTGCCAAAAACCTCCCACGTATTGTAATATATATACCTCCCACGTATTGTAATATAAACCTCCTATGTATTGTAATATAAACCTCCCATGTATTGTAATATAAACCTCCCATGTATTGTAATATAAACCTCCCACATTTTGTAATATAAACCTCCCACTTATTGTAATATAAACCTCCCACGTATTGTAATATATACCTCCCACGTATTGTAATATAAACCTCCCACATTTTGTAATATAAACCTCCCACGTATTGTAATATAAACCTCCCATGTATTGTAATATAAACCTCCCATGTATTGTAATATATACCTCCCACGTATTGTAATATAAACCTCACCCGTATTGTATTATATATACCTCCCACGTTTTGTAATATAAACCTCCCAAGTATTGTCATGTATACCTCCCACGTATTGTAATATACACCTCCCACGTATTGTAATGTATACATCCCACGTATTGTATTATAAACCTCCCACGTATTGTCATATATACCTCCCACGTATTATTATATATACCTCCCACGTATTGCAATATAAACCTCCCACGTATTGTAATGTATATACCTCCCACGTATTATTATATATACCTCCCACGTATTATTATATATACCTCCCACGTATTATTATATATACCTCCCACGTTTTGTAATATAAACCTCCCACGTATTGTCATGTATACCTCCCACGTATTGTATTATAAACCTCCCACGTATTGTCATGTATACCTCCCACGTATTGTAATATACACCTCCCACGTATTGTAATGTATATACCTCCCACGTATTATTATATATACCTCCCACGTATTGTATTATAAACCTCCCACGTATTGTATTATATACCTCCCACGTATTGGAATATAAACCTCCCACGTATTGTAATGTATACATCCCACGTATTGTATTATAAACCTCCCACGTATTGTCATGTATACCTCCCACGTATTGTAAATAAACCTCCCACGGATTGTAATATAAACCTCCCACGCATTGTAATATAAACCTCCCAAGTATTGTCATGTATACCTCCCACGTATTGTAACATAAACCTCCCACGTATTGTCATATATACCTCCCACGTATTGTAATATAACCCTCCCACGTATTGTAATATAAACCTCACCCGTATTGTATTATATATACCTCCCACGTATTGTAATATACACCTCCCACGTATTGTAATGTATACCTCCCACGTATTGTATTATATACCTCCCACGTATTGCAATATAAACCTCCCACGTATTGTCATGTATACCTCCCACGTATTGTAAATAAACCTCCCACGGATTGTAATATAAACCTCCCACTTATTGTAATATAAACCTCCTACGTATTGTAATATAAACCCCCCACGTATTGTAATATAACCCTCCCACGTATTGTATTTTATACCTCCCACGTTTTGTAATATAAACCTCCTACGTATTGTAATATAAACCTCCCACGTATTGTAATATAAACCTCCCACATATTGTAATATAAACCAGAGCCGTGTGTGACTTGTCTTGGAGTTAGCTTTGTCGAGTGAGGGTACACACTTGCATGTACATACCTAAACGTTTCCATGTACACCCATGTTAAACTGCTACAGTATTACTACTGGCTCAGTTTATGGAATTTTTTATATCTCTTAATAAGGACACATGAATATCATTTTAATGTCAAATTAAGAAATGTCATTTCACATCAATGTCCCTTTAATGATTATTTTTGCAGGATTGATTTCAGTCTTATTGATGATGAGGAAAATAACTGTTATCTCCTGGACGTAGCTGTGTTTAAGTAAGTGCAATTTTTGTAACAGGGTTGGTTATAATAGTGGCTATTCTCTCATTACAACATCATGATACCATGCCTCTGTATGATAGGAAGTATCAAAGTCCATGTGGAAATCAAGAAGACTATCATCCCTATTATATCCAGGCCTACAGTAACTGATCAGGATTATTGTATGGTGAAACTTTTTTTTATGTACATATTGAATGACATTCTCAATGACAAAGCATGTTTTACATGTGACCTTGTCTAAGCCAGCAAGGGTCATTTTTCCTGACATGCAGAGAAATGTCTGTCTGCTATGAATTACAGGGGATCTCCACAAATATAGGATTTCTACCTAGAGCAGCAGACTACAGAACTGTATAATTTCTTGCACAGCAATTCAGGGAAAGAAAAACATGTAGGTGTAATGTCCTAGCAGTAGATTTGATATGTGGTAGGTGTG